CATAAAAATAAAATTCCAGGTTAAACAAAATCATGTAGGTAAAATAGGTACCTACTTGCTCAGTCAGTGCTAATCTGTGCCACTGCCACTGAGCAAGTACTGTCAGACTGACAGAATCTGTCATAAATGCGGGATTTACACGACCCAGTTTTAAGGGACCCTTACCCTGACTAAAATCGGGGGGTGCGGCAGTGCCCCCGCCAAGTCAAGCGCGAAGCAAACACTGATGTCAATTCTGGCTCTAAAGCTAAACTTAAATTTGACAACAGTACATCTTTGTCGTTCTCTATACAGAATGAAAAAGAGAGACTGATGTTAAATTTAGTTTTAAGTTTAGAGAATCTCGTCAGAATCGACACCACTGCCGTATCATCCTTTACTAGAACCATTTCGCCGCATTGTCAGGCCCCTATTTGAGAACCTCTGGATAAGATCAGAACGCAAAAATTTTCGTCATCCAGTAAGCATACAGACATACAATAATACAATATAATACATACTTAAAATCCAAATTTTCAAGTCTGTAGGTCATTTAGTTCCGAAGTTAAGTGAAAGCAAAGTTTCGCATTAATGACACTCACTCACTCATGATCATCAGAATAGAACTCTGAAATTTGGTACAGAGTTAGGGTTTAATGGCCCCTTAAAAGGATATCTATAAAAACTAGGATAATCGAGGATCTAGAGTACCATAGTATCATGTAGCACCGGGTTTCGTGCCCTTGTGTACCCTTTAACGGCCAAATCACACAATATTAACTATAATAATAAAGAAATCGCAGTTAACCCTTAGACTTGGCACGACTTTGTCTAGATTTCATAACTTTTTAGAGATAAACAAGCAGCTCCATCGAGACTTTGCTAGTTTTTTACAGAATGTTTTTGGTGTGATGGCATTTACACTTCCCAATTTGAAGAGCCCTATCGAAAGGGTAGGCGTGGCCCCTAGCTAGAGTGGTAGCAATTATTATACCACGCCGATTGCTCTATCCCGGGTCCCTTATTCACATTACTCCACCCTCTTATTCAGGGTAAGGGACCCTTAACATTGTGTAGTGTAAATCTCGCATAAGGGTGCGGCCAGAGTGCACTCAGATTCAGATTTCGAAAACAAGCGCGAGAAATAAACAGTGTAGTCTAAGCAGGTTGCCTGCTTTTTCTCGCGCTTTGTTTTCTGAGTCTGAATCTGAATCTGAATCAGGAGTGCACTCTGGCCGTACCCTTCGACTACACTGTTTATTTCTCGCGCTTGTTTTCAGAATCTGAATCTGAATCTGAATCTGAGTGCACTCTGGCCGCACCCTATGGGTCTTGTAATGTGAGGGAGTAAGGGAACCGATCTAAGGCGATCGGTGCAGTGTAATAATTGCTTACCCTAGCATGGTGCCACGCCTACCCTTTCGATGGGGCCCTAAAATTAGGTAGTGGATATCCCGTTAGGGTGCGGCCAGAGTGCACTCAGATTCAGATTCAGATTCCGAAAACAAGCGCGAGAAATAAACAGTGTAGTCGAAGGGTACGACCAGAGTGCACTCCTGATTGAGATTCAGATTCAGACTCAGAAAACAAAGCGCGAGAAAAAGCAGGCAACCTGCTTAGACTACACTGTTTATTTCTCGCGCTTGTTTTCGGAATCTGAATCTGAGTGCACTCTGGCCGCACCCTTACACTACATGTATCATCATGCTATTTTTTTTATTTATTGGTAATGGGTACCAAGCAGTTTATACCTATACCTATGTTTTCGTTTTGTTCAGTCTTTATAATAAGCAAGTTTTTGCAATTTATGTAAAAAAATCTGTGATTAAAGTGATTCGTATTTGTTTATGAATTTTTTTCGATAACAAATTGACTTTTCAATAAACTGTTGCAATGTGTCAAAACGGCCATCATATCATGCCGCGACCTTGGCCGCGACTGGTAGCTTTCCAATTACAGCATTATAGCGCATTATGCTTAACGTTGAGTGTTCCAACTACAGCAACGCTTCGCACAATAGGCTAGTTGACTCATGTCGAATTGTATTAAATAAATGTTTATTTCTTAAAGTATTTAGTCTAAGGAACCTTAATATATCGATTTCACTTAATAAAAACAGAAGATTGCTGTAGAAATTTAATTTTAAAAAATATCTTTTAGTCTATATTTTTTAAACACTAAAAACGCTGTTCGCCGTCTCTTGTGGTAAACAACTAAATGTCATTCGCGTGTTACTGTAGGTGGATTCTTTCGTCTGACTAAATTTATCTTAAAACACTTTTAACTTTAGGAAAGAAAAAAACAGTAAACTTAGTTTTTTTTGACAAAACTAATTATGGATGCCGGCTTTATGAAAGCAGAAAGCACAAATCTGCCAAGAATTGACGCATTGATGGTTGGTGAATTTGTTGCACTAAACCCCGATTTCTGCTCTGCGGAGCAGAGAAACGACAGGCCATCTATGTAAGTACAGTGCATTTAGTATTACAGTGGTGTCAATTCTAGCATGATTCTCTAAACCTAAACTTAAATTTGACAGCAGTATATCCTTGTCATTCTCTATACAGAATGAAAAGGAGAGACTGATTTTAAATTTAATTTTAAGTTTAGAGAATCACGCCAGAATTGGCACCAATGTACTAATAAACATAAAACTGATACAACATATGAATAAGTGTAATAAAGTTGCGTAGGTTAATTTTTTTCGGCACTTTAATCCACAACTTTCCTGGAGTCTTCAAGGATGTGTTTTTATATTCTCGTACAATACAGTAATGAGAATTACTTTATTTTTCGTGGTATTTATTAGAATCATGTTTTTTTTTTATTATAAACTTAGTTAACGAGTTTTTGTTTACCACAGTTCACGTCATAGCATAGATAATCTATAGACTAAAATGGCCGACAGCGTTTTTGTATGTCCATGAAAAGTCTATTTAAAATTAAAGATTTGACCAGATTGAGGTTTAAAAAAAATACAATACATTTTTTTTCGGTCTAATAGAACATTTATTGGTGTCGATTCTGGCACGATTCTCTAAATCTAAACTTAAATTTGACAACAGTGGTGTCGATTCTGGCGTGATTCTCTAAACTTAAAACTAAATTTAACATCAATCTCTCCTTTTCATTCCGTATAGAGAATGACAAGGATACACTGTTGTCAAATTTAGATTTAGGTTTAGAGAATCGTTTCAGAATTGACACCAGTGTTTCCTTGTCATTCTCTATACAGAATGAAAAAGAGAGACTGATGTGCACTCTCAAAAGTGATGCTTTCGTGTGATGCGTGCAATCGTACCAACTTAGAGACAGAAAATTAACAAGTGTTTTTTCTTTAAGTTAGCATTCATCGAAATGTTTTATTTATTATGTTATCGTTAGTAATATTATTTATTGTTGAAAATTATTAAAACTTTCGTTTCATCATAGTTTTTTTTAAATAATCAAAGTTAATTCAAACTGTGTTAAGAATTAAATATAAATATGAATGAAAGTACAAACATTGACTTTTTTTTTCAACACTGAACTTAGCGCACTCTGCTGGTGCATTTGAAAACTAATTCACGTTCCAATTGAGCATCAGCATAATTCGGCATTGTACGGCACTGAGTCGCATTATGCTCTGTAATTGGAAAGTAACCACTATCTTCATGGGGTACGGCCACAATACACGCTAGTGCACAGGAACCTGATGATTGATTACTTAAAGTATTTGGTGTAAGGAACCTAAATATATCGATTTCACTTCATAAAAGCAGAAGATTGCTGCAGAAATTTAATTTAAAAAAAAAAATTTTAGTCTATATTTTCTAAACACTAAAAACGCTATCCGCCACATCCGCCATGATTGTGACGTCTCTTATGGTAAACAACTAAATGTCATTCGCGTGTTACTGTGGGTGGATTCTTTCGTCTGGCTAAATTTATCTTAAAACACTTTTAACTTTAGAATAGTCTCCATTTACTGTTTTTTTTTGAAAAAACTAATTATGGATGCCGGCTTTGTGAAAACAGAAAGCGCAAATCTGCCAAGAATTGAAGCATTCATGGTTGGTGAATTTATTGCACTAAACCCCGATTTCTGCTCTGCGGAGCAGAAAAACGACAAGGCATCTATGTAAGTACAGTTTAATTAGTATGACAATGTAGTAATGTAATACACATAAAACTGACACAACATATGAATAAGTGTAATAAAGTTGCGTAGGTTAATTTCTTTCGACACTTTTAATCCACAACTTTCCTGGAGTCTTCAAGGATGTGTTTTTATATTCTCGTACAATACAATAATGATAATTACTTTATTTTTCGGGGTATTTATTAGAAATCATCTTTTGATTATTATAAAATCAGTTAAGTTATTTTCTACGTGCTTACGAGTTTTTGTTTATTTACCTTTCTCTATGTGTTTACTGCAGCTAACGTCATAGCATAGATAATCTATAGACTAAAATGGCCGACAGCGTTTTTGTATGTCCATGAAAAATCTATTTTAAAATTAAAGATTTGCTTTTTATGTCTCAAAAAAATACAATACATTTTTTTTCGGTCTAATAGAACATTTATTAACCATTTAAAACCTTTTTCCAAAAAGAGTCAACTAGCCTATTTAGCACTCTCAAAAGTAATGCTTTCGTGTGATGCGTGCAATCGTACCAACCCAGTGACAGAAAATTAACAAGTGTTTTTTTTTAAGTAAGCATTGATCGAAATGTTTTATTTATATGTTATAGTAAGTAATATTATTTATTGTTGAAAAATTATTAAAGCTTTCGTTTCATTAAATAGTTTTTTTTAACAATCAAAGTTAATTCAAACTGTTAAAAAAATAAATATAAGTATGGATGAAGATACAAACATTGACTTTGTTTTTCAACACTGAACTTAGCGCACTCTGCTGGTGCATTTGAAAACAACATTTCGATCGATGCCAACTTAAAGAAAAAACACTTGTTAATTTTCTGTCTCTGAGTTGGTACAATCGCACGCATCACACGAAAGCATTACTCAAAGCATTACTTTTGAGAGTGTTCAATTGTGCGTAGCGTTGCTGTAGTTGGAACACTCAACGTTAAGCAATATGCCGCATAATGCTGTAATTGGAAAGCTACCTAATACACGTTCCTATTAAGCATCAACATAATTCGGCATTGTGCGGCACTGAGTCGCATTATGCTCTGTAATTGGAAAGCAACCATGATATACACCACAGTTCTGGAAAAGACGCCGACAGAGCCCATTACGACCATGTCACGACACACAAATACAAAGAGTATGACAAATATAAATCCGGCTTTAAGTCAGACAGATGACATTATTTTGTAAATAATCTAAATATTTTTATTTCTTTCCTCGCGGGTCAAATTTCATTAATTTCGTCGAATCATTTTGTAGGAGTGTAGTGTGTTGTGCTAATTGGCGTATTTGGTTAAGCAAAAATATGATAGCTCGACTGTGGACCGATGACCTGCCAAAATGTAGGAATACATGTGTAGCTTCGTATTTCTCACGACTCGGTGGTAATACTAATAATACAGATGATTACCTTTGCTTCCATTGCCAAACGGAAGATAATTCGTGAGTATAACTATACTAGTATAGTATGTATCATTGCAACCCAGAAAAATTACTTGTAGTCTGGCGCCTAATTGTAATAAATAATTTATATAAGAATGTTGCTCCATTGCCATTGCGGCCTTTATAGAGAGCCAATTAGTCTCTCTATGTTAAAGGGCGGGCAACCCAGTAATATGCTTCTATAGTCCCTTCCAGCCCATCCAATTCTAACAATAATCTCCTAATGTCATGCCTGTAGATCAAATAGTTTCCTGTATGATGTAGCTAGAGAGATTAGATCCAATATGTATACCACATCACATCTCTTAAAATGGCCTCTAAAGTTGGATTAAGATTCCCACACATGCCTTAAAGTACTTGTCATTTCTGACCAGTGTATACATAATAATCAAAATGTTATGCATAAATTCCTATATTTCAGTTGCTTGTATGGTGTGTTTGAACCGCACAATGGGTTGGAAGCAGCAAGATTTATTATGCAAAGAATGGCTGCTGAAATATTGTTTCCATCTCCTTCTGCAAACAATACTGATGAAGAGATTCGGGAACGGTTGAGGTACATAATTTATTGTTTCTGAATATTTTTTCAAAACTAGTGAGAAATTATGTGTGGTGTCTAATGCATTTTGTTTTTTCTCAGGAATGCTTTTGTTTCTGTAGAAAAAGCCTATATAGAGAATTATGATGGACTAATAGCAGAAAGGACAAGCCTACAGTATCAACTCCCCCAGACGATAAATGAGCAACAGGTAGGTATTTAAAAAGGGTTATCAACTTGAAGTTACCATAGGATACTTGTTGCTAAAGTATATGCACTTTGTTATTTTTGTAATATTTTAGATGTCACAATATGATCACATAGTGGCACGTCTCAAAGAAATCGACCAACATCTCTCTGGAGGTGCTACTGTGGTCATAGCACTAGTTCTCAACGGGAAACTATTCATAGCTAACGTAGGGGAGACTCGAGCACTACTTGGTAGAACAGATGATAATGCTGTATTGAGAGTTATACAGTTGACAGTGGAACACAGTTTGAATAATGAAGATGAATTGCTGAGACTGGAGCAGTTGGGACTTGATGTTAATAAATTAAGAAATGGTGAGGATTTTAATAGTTAATTATGCAACTGTATAATGAATGATATATCTACAGCTTCACCCATGTTATGAGTCCTCTATATAAGAGATACCAATACCATAAGGCGTTCTAAGAACTTAAAATTCACGAAAACTTTTGGTGCTGTGTTAGTGAAACACTCCTGAATCACAATGTTTTTTTTAATTCATAAATATGGATGTATTATGTAATATGTACCATTGAGCAATAAGAATGTGGTTGTCTGATGAATACACCCTTTTTTATAATGTTATAATAAATTTAACATTATGTGTTAACTACATATTATATTGTAGTAACCATATGATATTGGATGTTTTAATGATGCCAATAAGCTAACTTTTATAGAGGTTATAAAGCATTAGGTGTAGATAAAAGTAAAGTACACACTTACATATTTAGTTTGGATGACAACACATGCTTAGCTAAGTGACTATATGGTCATTCTAAATCCAATATGGCAGGTGACCCAAGATGGCGAATAAGTTTAGGAAATTACTTCAACCTATCTGGTATTGAGTGTAAGTGGAGTACAGTCGTGACAGTAGCTGATGTAACAGTAAAGTGTGCCACTCTAGCTGAACCCAATCCTTTACCCTGCCATCCTCGAAAATACCTAATTAATTAGCAAAATATACCACTATTGATTTTGACAACAGGTATCGCTATTCACAAATAAATTCAGTTTGAAACCACTTGAGATTACCTGTTAATGTATCGCAATATGTGCATGACAGAAATGACGCGTTTGTTCTGTTCTTATTACTTCTCACAAACAGACACTTTAGACACTAACAGACTTTCACTCTTTATAATATTATGAAGATATAATGATATTTGAATTGTCTCTTTCAGCTCAGTATTTAGGCAATCAAACAGGAACCCGTTGTTTAGGCAACTACTTAGTGAAAGGGTTATACAAAGCATTTCCTACAATCAGCGCAGCATCTTCGGAACCCGTAGTCGCCACGCCAGAGATACACGGGCCTATTATACTAGACGAGTCTTGCAGGTAACAATTGAATTAGTAGATTTAATTTCAGTTATATTCAAGCTACAACTTCCGCCCGCGACTTCCTGTAACTTTCGCGACTGTTTGGTGTGAAGGTGCACATTGCTTCCATCGATCCGCACTGGACCTTCTCTTTAGGGTTGGTGCAACAATATTAATTAAAAAAAATGTTGGTTAATTTACCGCATTTGAAGCAAATTTTGTTCTCATACTTACTGTAAACTGATTTAATAGAAAATATTTGTGATATTCAGATGCATGGTCGGTAATATAGCCGTCTCTTTTCCTCGCAGTCCGTAGCATTCAGAATGGCGCGTAGAGGCAAAGAGATATAAGGTCTATATTCTTCCGCATATAGCAATAAGTCGTGTAATATTTTACGAGCTTACATTTCGAACTGTCGTATCTCTTTGACATGCATGCGTTTTAGTTCAGACCTTATACAGTAGGCATTGAAGGTGACTTTCAATGTTTAAATAAGGCCGTATATTGTATTTGACTACGCGATCATCTTACGGAGCTTTGTAGATCATTCAATGTACCTTTTGGACTGGTTTTGGCCACGATTTTGTTCGTCTTGGTGTATCTAGGGTCTTTATTATAGTTGGGTTGGTGTATAATCTATTGCTGCTGTAGCAGTGGGACTATTCCCGACGACGACGATATTGATTTCCGAAGCTGGAAATTGAACCATGTAATGTAAACCATTGCACAATTTAGGGCTCATCAAAGAATTTTGCTAACATAGAAGATATATGATATAGATATTTGCTCTTAAAGTTTGAATGAAATTTTCTATAAAAGGGGATAGTTTGTTCGTACGCCCTGTAGGGGCCCAGCGCCCTAGTTTCCATGGAAACTGACGATGGCGATACAAATATTTACTTTCTCGCTAGTTTGTGCTTGGGGAACAGGTCTTTAGCAGAATCACCTTAAAAACTGATGACACTTATGTCCAATATGCAACCAAATGGTCTTTTAATGAATACTTAACCAACTGCACACTTACAGATTCCTCGTTTTGGTCAGCGCTGGAGTCTACAAACGCATACAAGAAGCCAAAGGTAGCAGTGAACAAACCAACAAGCAACTATCCCAAATCATTGTTGAAAACTTCAGAAAGCAAACAAACTTCAAAAACGTTAGCCAGTCAGTCCTCGAAGAGATAGAGGAAGAATTCGTATCATACTGTGTGAAAAACAATTTGACACCAAAACCGAACACTCACATGTCATTGCTGATAAGAAACTTCAACTTTTTGCCACCGATCGAAGAGAGCGTACAGAGAAACACATCTGTGAGATTCAATCCGATAGTGCAATCGAAATCTACTACGTTACTGAATGAAATTGATTCTGAGCAGTATTCGTCAGGTAATGAAATAGAAACGAACGAATCTACTGTGGATACCAATCGTTCGGTGGAGTCCTCATCAGATATCCTGTATCCGACTAGGCAGTTCGATAAGGATAGAAAGATCAAAGGCTATGTTGATTTCTCTTGTTACTATGAGAACGTTGCGAAGGCGCGCAAGAATGGCACCTTGCCCGGTTTTATTAAATAGTTTTTGTTTTACCATTAAATGGTGGATACATTTTTTTACACCATGAGATTCAGTGTTTACACAGAGAATAGACTGAGCGAGTATTGACCGCACGATCGCTTCGTCCCTCTCGCAGTTATCTGCCAAAGGGGGTAGCGGGTTAAGGGGGGTCTGGCGGCCCCCACTGAATCTGGTAAAATCGTTCCAAAAATCTTGAAGAGGGCCGAAAAACAAGCAGTATAAGCTTTTTACCGACATTGCAACCCGGATTTTTATTTTTTCAACCAGTTTAATTTATTTTTAAATGGTTTAAATGCAATTAAAAGTTTGTGTTTGATGTATGGAAGTCCACTGAATTTCTTCAAATTTTTTGGTCAAGTAAAAACATGTGAATTTTAGGTTTAAATGCGAAAAAATCGTGAAAAACGCGTCATTTTCAAGATTCAACCCTCTTATTTTTAGGGTTTTTTTCATTTTCCCGAGGGGTGCTGTATAGTATAGATAGCGGCAATCGCCTTCTTTCGAATGCAGGCAATTGGACTCAATTTGGTCAATTCTGGTGAGCGGGGCGATTTTTTGAAAAAAACTCGAATTTTCAACTTTCGGTAAATTACGGCGCGTACTTGGTATAATGCGTTTTTGCTATAAAAAATACATCTCTGTAGGGGTTTTTGAGGTCGCTGATCACGAATTTGATGTCAAAAAAAAATTTTGACAGCAAATTCACCCATAAATATTTATTAACACAGGTTTGATAATGTTAAAATATTAATGAAAGACTTTTTTAATTTCTATCAATTAACTGTTTTTTAGTTTTTAAAAAAAAAAATTGACATCAAATTCGTGATCAGCGACATCAAAAACCCCTATAGAGATGTATTTTTTATAGCAAAGACGCATTATACCAAGTACGCGCCGTAATTTCCCGAAAGTTGAAAATTCCATTCTTTTTCAAAAAATTGCCCCGCTCACTAGAATTGACCAAATTAAGTCCAATTGCCTGCATTCGAAAGAGGGCGATTGCAGCTATCTATACTATACAGCACCCCTCGGGAAAATGAAAACAACCCTAAAAATAAGAGAGTTGAATCTTGCAAATGACGCGTTTTTCACGATTTTTTCGCATTTAAACCTAAAATTACAATGTTTTTACTTGACCAAAAAATCTGAAAAAATTCAGGGGACTTCCACAAATAAAACACAAATTTTTAATTGCATTTAAACCGTTTAAAAATAAATGAAACTGGTTGAAAAAAATAAAAATCACAAAAAATCATTTTTTCCGCCATTACTGTGTTTTCTTTTGGGGTTGTAATGTCGGTAAAAAGCTTATACTGCTTGTTTTTCGACCCTCTTCAAGATTTTTGGAACGATTTTACCAGATTCGGTGGGGGCCGCCAGACCTCCCCTAACCCGCTACCCCCTTTTATTTTACATTAGGATAGGGAACGCTCAGTCCTCTATCTCGTCATTATCCAATTATTGTTCATCTTGCTTAATGTTGTCTTGTTTGTATATATTTTAAAGAGAAATGTATAAAAAATATTTTGGATAAATAAGTTTTACAAGTTGGACCATTTATTTCATTTCGCATCATTTCTGCGATATACCCCATAATTCACAGTCTACAATATTCAGTTACTAACCCTTGTTTACACCAAGGTATAATACATGTATTTAACAAATTTTATACAATGTCTTAATTTTTTGTTTGTTCGTAGTATATAAATGTATAATACGTAATATACAATACTTGCATCTAACTTGTTGGATAAACACTACTTGGAAATATATTGTTAATAAAATTGTTCTATTAGACCGAAAAAAAATTATTGTATTTTTTTCATATAGAAAGTTATGGAAAAATACAAAACTTGTATTTTAAAATAGATTTTTCATGAACATACAAAAACGCTGTCGGCCATTTTAGTCTATAGATTATCTATGCTATGACGTCAACAAAATCGTAAACAAACATTCGGAAGCACGTAGGAAATAACCTGAATCTAAATTTATATTATAAAACCATGATTTCTAATAGATTTCATGATAAATATGATAATTATTATGATTGTATTATACGAGAATGTAGAAACACATCGTTAAAGACATCAGAAAAGTTGTGGTTTAAATTGTCTTGATAAAATACGCATACATATGTACACATGACCACAGTCATGTTTAAAATTTGCTAAATCATTTCTTTTAGCAAAGATCACTTTAATGTGAGTACTCATTGAATAATATGAAAAGTTTAAAAATACAACTTCTAAGGTTATGAATGTACAAACACGGTCACGGGCGCGTGAACAGTTCTAAGGCGATTTTGCCATGCACTCGTTTTGTACGATTCGTTAGTGGGCGGGCTCTCGACTTTTATGAATGAACAGCAATAGCTCGGTTGTGTTGTGATGAATGTATGCTCATGATATTACATTTTGTTTGGAATTCGTAAATGATTTAATGAATGTCCTCTTTTCAATTACCTACATAATTAAATCCGGAAACAGTTGTAATCGTTCGTGCTATTCACGAAGTAAGCGTTCTGTAGATTATTTAACGACTTATTTATTTATAAGAATCATAACTCCTGAATAATTCAGTGATATTTTATATGTCATTAACGGCTGCACTCAAAGACGTCAACTAAAGGTAATGCTTCATTAAGTCGCGTGTTGTCTTATTTTGTTTTACCAAGAAATTTTGTTTCTACAAAGAAAGTGACAGCATCAACTTTAATTTAAATTAAAAGTTAATTGGCGTCTCTGAGTACGGCAGCGATTCAGCGCGACCTAAGGGTCTCACAAGTTAAATTTTGCCCATTGCTTAGAAAGGGGTTTGTGATTAATCAAGTATAACGCGCGCTCCAATTCAAGCGGGAAATCCGCTATGCCCTACGTCTTTTAAAGGTAAAATAGACGCTGGTAAAAGTAAATACTTAATATATAAAAACTATCATTAACGATATTATATTTATTTTAAAAGAGAGCGGATTTCTCAGAGGAGTTGGAGCGCCCTTCTGGAAAAGTAACCTTTTTCTTACAGAAGACCACAGTAAAATAACACTTCCTACCTTTTGGTGTTGTGTTTCTGTTGGTGAGGAGCTCGATGGCGCAAGTGGTTAACGCGTTCGGCTGCATCTGCAGTCGTTAGCACCAACCAATCCGCACTGGGCCCGCATGGTGGGTCATGGCCCAATCTCCCTATTCCATTCATAGGGAAGGCCTGTGCCCCAGCAGTGGGGACATTAATAGGCTGATGATGATTCTGTTGGTGAATAAGGTTTTACGGCTCCACGGGGACGGGGATGGGTTCAGGCCAGCAAGGTGAGAATGGCTGGAGCGGCACACTTTTCTATCGCATCAGTTATCTTCAGACTTCACTAGTCCCCACTCACACTTAAAGATCTGGCTGGGGAGGGGAAATTTTCTGCGCCTTGTATTAAAAAAATAACAAAATATATCTCACTGGCTATTAGATGCTAACGCATAATAATATATCTTTAGATAGGTATATAGAACCGAAACCACTTGAGTATTTATTCACTGACAAATCTCGAAAACTACTAAAATAAACACGAAAGTAATTAATGATTAGGGGTCGTTGCCTAAAAAGGATTTTAGGAAACTTCCTTAAAATGGGGATAACTGTGTATAAATTAAAATTAAAAAATTTAAAGTTGTTAATATCAGAGTTGGTAATTAATTAGGCTACCTAGAAAATGGTAGTATTTTCTAATTTATACTCTGAGTGGTTACAATGTAGGATCAAAGTTTTGTTCTGCGCGTGCGAAGCCGCTGACGGCAAGCTAGTACCTATTTTTACAAGAGCATAATAACAATAAAAGAAATAATTATTAAGCTCATTCTCTTTGAGAGTAAAAAGGTTATAGGTTTACTTTAAAAACATGACTATACCAGATTCATGAATTCAATATTAAAATCGAAACCAAATGTAAAATTACGCGTATGATTATTGTTGTTGTTTTATTATTTCTTTATTTGGTCTCGATATCGCACGCGTATCACAGAAATCCCGAGATGTTGCCAAACCGCTGGCTGTAGCTGTGTAGCGGCATAGAGCAACGTCGCGCTTAATATTTACTCTCGCACGCATCATTCATAAATGCACCCAGTGCAGCGCTATGCTAATTGGTTATAGTAAAATACTACGACCAATCAGGATGGGCTCGTAAAATCACCCGTCTAGCGCTTGCACAGGAAAGATTTTTTGAAGTGTACACGCGCCCGTGACCCCCTGTACCTTCTAAGTCAAAGAGTTTTGTCGTTTCTGCTTTCACAAATCTGGCGTCCAGCAGTAATTTAGCCAAAAAACCAAAAACGGAAAATTTCTACAACATGTAACAGTATTTAGATATATTTTAGTCCGAAGAAAGACACCACAGTAACAACGCAATGACGTTTAGTTGTTTACTAATACATTTACTAACTTATTGACGTCACAATCATGGTGGACAGCGTTTTGAGTGTTTAAAAAGCATGGACTAAAAAACCATTTTTCAAATTAAATTACTACAGCTATCTTCTAATTTTATGAAGTGAAATCGATATATTTAGTTTCCTCATACCAAACATTATAAGAAATAAACATTTTTATAGTGCAATTTGACATGTGTCAACTAGCCTACTACTTGTAAGATACTAGTTGTCTATGCAGTGTAAACGAAATAATGTTTTAAACAGCCACAACAAATATTCTACAAGATTTCTTTAAAACTAGAACATGACTTGTTTCTTGGTGGAAACGAGGGGTTATTAAATTAGTTCCAAGAGACCAGGTTGAAAAACTTTACACGATAAGGTGGGTTGTGGTTGATTGGATTAACGAAAACATTTTTTTTATTTTATTATTTAATTTATAAAGAAAATAAAAAATAAGAAACAATACAATACCAGCCAATGATAGAAAAGCCAGGATTCATTGGTGTAATCACCCGTGAATTGAGTATACTCAGGGATATAATTCCTATTATGTCCGGACATAACCGGTTCTATGGACTGGCTTTTAGTTCCGCAGTCCCAGCCGATACATTCGCGTCGGAATTTCAAATTATAGTGTTGTAAAGTCTTATCAGACTAGATAGTCAGTCTTATAAAGTCTTATCAGATAGATATCGTTAAAAACCACAGTGATGTGCCACACGGCCATATCGTATTAAATTACTAATAATATAAATAAATAATATTAACTAATATATAAATATATATATATATATATATATATATATATAAATAAAATTAATGTGTCTGAAAACGAATGTACAACGCCTAAAGTCTATGCTCTAGACAAACTATTTAGGGATTTAAGGCGTAAAGCTAAAAATTGTATTGTTTAGTAGACAAAGAAATATAAAAAAGGTTAAAAACATTGAATTGTCTTTATTGAAATAAAATGCGCTAGGGGCTCACAATTTATGGTTTTTTTATATAAATATATAAAAATCGATATATTATTCATCGTTATTGATTGTATCTCTAAAATGACATCAGTTTAAGTTCTATAACGTTATAGTACATAATTACATTTTAAGTTTAATAATAGTAGGATTAATAATTAAACCGGTTTGTAGTCCAGCTTGCTTTCCAACTTCTTGTTATCGGCCACTTTCCGCACAGCTTTCATAAGATCCTCCTGTAAAAAATAATAAATAAATATAATATAATAAGATAAATAACGGAAGTTGATTGATATGAGGGCGAATTGTGGCGAGTTTTTCGCTTTCCCAAACTTATTCAATTTCATAGTTATTCTTTTAACTTTGAAAGGAAAATCATAAAAAGAGAGTAAGACTGCAGTTTCTCAAATGATCTGTAAGTGTATGTGCCTATCCACATCTCTACGCCATGAGATTGTCTACGTGGAACGGTTCGGTAATGTGGCCATAGGGGTTTATCTAAGAATAGAGTGGGGAAGGCGGCTCTAAAAATGTCCGTCAAGTAGAAAGAGAAAGAAGATGAGAGACCACTAGCTATCTCTCTCTCTTGTGACGCATGGCAACCAATGGCATCACATCGCATGCGCTTTGGTAAGTTATAGTAAGTTGCTTACGGTTACCAATGCGCGATTAGAGAGAGAGAAATCTAGCGGTCTCTCATCTTCTTTCTCTTTCTATTAGAGGGACACTTCCACTTGTAGTACAGTCTATATCTCCCCTACTCTATTCTTATACCTCTATGAACGTGGCACGGTGCGTTGACACAACGTGCAAATTTACGTGACCGTGTCGTAAAAATGCACGTCACGACGCCGCAACGTTACACGTCGCCGTCCGTGCCTTGTAAAATTCCGATACATACTTCACTAACGTGCCAGAGATAGCAGTCAGCCTTGTACATTCATCAACGTATTAACTTTCAATATTCTCCGAAGACTCGCACAGCGAGCACGCGAGCGCATCGTAGCCACGTCGGATTACGACGACGTCAGACGCGCCGTTCCACGGCAACGTTGCCATACCCTCATGTGAAGAGTCTTTTAACGATGAAAGCATCTACTAGCACGCGGACGCGATAACGCACCGTGCCGCGAGACCGCACCGTTCTACGTTGACGACGTCGTGACGTGGAGATGTGGACCAGGGATGTTACGGAGCTTCGACTGCGATTCCGATAAGGCGGAACTTCCGATTATTATTACACCTTCAGTTCCGACTTCGGTTCCGAAACTTTTAAATCGGAGGTTTTAATCGGAGGTCACAAAGCATAGCAAATAGCGACTGCGGCCTGCGTCGACCGTTACAAACTGGTTCATACCCGTCGCGTTGAGAGTCTGTGTTACTAATAAGTAAATTTAAATGAAATATTGTTATTTTATAATGAAAATGAAGGAAGGCTGACTGAATGATGTTTTTATTTGTTCTTAAATTAAAAATATCACTCTTGTGCCCACTTCTGACTCTGCCTTTGACCCTGACTCTGCCTCCGACTCCGATAAATCAAATAAAAAACGAGCGAGCCTTACAGTAGTCGCGTATGATGTGTAACATTTGAAACCTCAACTTATATTAGTAAAAAAAGAAATAAAACCTACTACAAAAGGAATAAACCATTTAAACATTACGTTCTAAAATCAAATAGCGCGCGCTTTCGCGACTTCCTCTTACACACTTCCGTCCCATTTCACGAAATCACTCCCACAAATTGCAGGAAAGCGAGAGGAAAGATGTTACACATCAAAAACTCCGACTTCGGTTCCGATAAATTTACCTCCGTTACATCCTTGATTTGGACAGGCCCTATTGCGATTCGAACTTTATTGTGGTTGTGAATATAGCAGCGAGCGCATATGCGCAGGTTCAATGAAACCATGGACTTGAGAATGGTATGATTGATAACCATAAGAAACTGACCACAGTCTAGAAAGATAGAAAATGGTGGTGCAATGCAATCTTTGCGGACTACTGACCTATATTGTATTGTCTTTCTCACACTTCTATGTAAATAACGGACATATCATTTGCCTTCCTAAAATGGGTGAATTTTACGGGAAACCAAAAGCTTATCTTTTCATCAGCTTATTAATGTCCCCACTGCTGCTAGGGATGGAATAGGGCGATTGGGCAATGACCCACCATGCGGGTCTAGTACGGATCGAGGGTGCTAACGACTGCAGATGGCAGATGCTGCCGGAACCAACGACTAAACGTGCATCCCGAAGCACGGAGGAGCTGGAGATAATAACCCCTCAGGTTCGAGTGGTCTAGGCTTCAGACGGAGGGGAGTATCCCCCCGTGGGGAGATGCCATCCGCCTGGAATACCTCTAGAGGTACTCGGCCAATTCTCGGCATGAGGTCCCCTTAGGATCACACCGTCCCCAAGCCCGGTGACGCTGTAAAGCTCTTCTGCGACCAACAGCATACACACTCAAAAAAAATCGAGATTATAAGGTTATGGTCACGCATCCAATGATTGGCCATTTCCAAAAGTTTCTTGACTTTACGATCGCAGATCGAAACTTGCGTCGTCGAGCACCTGCAGTGCTATTATGTAAGAATAAACTCACTATTAATAACTCACCTCGGAATACTCGGAGCAATTTATTATTAGAACACCTAAGGGATTAGAAATGATATGGAAGCATTACTCTCGAACATGTCTCGCCAAAACATGGTTCCAAAACGCGTTACGCACACAGACAAAACAAAATACTTCGAGAAATCAAATATCTGCAAATGAACGCCGGTATCTGCTTGTCCATTCATTGGGTAAAATATGTTAAACGGAAATCCCAACCAATCCCATGATCGGCGCGTTGATCGCAGTTATTTCGCCCCGCTTTCTTCATCTGTTTGCGTGTATATACCATCTTTGTAGCGCAGTCCGTAATACATATTATTTCTAATTCGTTGTAGAACACTTATTTCAAATCACACCAGCGAATACGGAGGTGAAAAGTAAGTTTGTTATTAAAGAATAGCACTGCTGTACCTGTTCAATAGGTTCCTTTTGAATTTCATAAGCAACAATATCTCACCTGTATGATGTATTCCCTCTCCGCCCTGATGGCGAACAGTCCCGCTTCAGTGCAAACGTTCCTCAAATCCGCGCCGTTGAATGTGTCCGATAGTTTGACTACCGCCTCGTAGTCCATTTCACCGTGTTTGGCTATGGGCGCAGCGTGGATCTTCAGGATTTCCAACCTAAATAAACAAAAAACAAAAATGTAAATATATTAATTTTATTATAATATTGTTTTAAAATTATACGGCCACCAACATAATAGTAAGTATCTTCTTTTTTTCGAGTCCACAATATTTGGGCACTGTCGCAAGTGCCATAATAACAGAGTAACTCACTGCTTATTTAATCCGTGATCATAGCATGATAAAAAACAGGACATGTGCAAGTCGCGCTCGCCCACCGAGGGTTCCGTAGAAATTTCTAGGTAGGCAACATAAACGGACGTATCTTTCTTTTACGTTAACTAAGAATTTTGATTTTGTCACAGCTTTAAAGTACCTTAGACATGAGTATATGGTTTAAATTTCAACTCGATACCTCTACGCGATCTCGAGATAAAGGGTCTTGACAGACAGACAGATACACTGCCGTATCTTTTTAAATAGAAGTGTAATTCTTACACAGCTTCAAGAGACCACAGACTTGAGTATATGGTTTAAATTTTAACTCGATACCTCTACGCGTTCCTGAGATAAAGGGTCTTGACAGTAAGACAGACGGAAAACAAAGTGATCCTATAGGGATTCCGTTTTTTTAGGTACGGAACCCTAAAAACAAGGTAAGTATAAGGTAGCACCACACATCTCGAATAAACTACAGAGAACAAAAAAAAAACTTGCACAGACCTGACCTGGAGGGAAAGGGAATGAAAGAGCGGATATAGTTAAAGATGAAGGAAACAAAGATAGCGCTTATCTAGCTTGTTTGATAGGCAAAGGTGCTTAGGGTACGTTTTCGATAGGGCAGGGTACAAGTTAAAGAGAGAATTCCTTTCTCTCTTTAACTTGTACCCTACAACGATAAGGCCCTAAGGGTAAAGAAAGAAGGAGAGTACGAAGATAATAAAGAGAGCAAAGACGACAAAAGCAAAGACAGTAAGTTTCGCTTACCTAGCTTGTTCATTGGGTAAAGGTATTTCGATCTTCCTATCCAACCTGCCCGGTCTCAACAACGCAGGGTCTAAGGTGTCCGGCCTATTGGTGGCCATGATGATCTTCACCTGGCCCAGGGAGTCGAACCCGTCCATCTGGTTAAGCAATTCCATCAGTGTACGCTGGATCTCTCTGTCGGCGCTTGTGCCTTCAGAGAAACGTCTACCGCCTGTTGTTAGAGATATGGTTTTGATTACATTAAGATCTATATAAACTAGTGGTCCCTAGAACCTGTCGGAGATAGTTGTGTATTTAAACTATCAAGAGACCCATTTACATGCACAAATCAAATCTCATCGAAATTAGTCTTCCCATTCAGGAAGGAGGAGCTTAGTTACATTTAAATATATAAAAACGTTTTAGTAATTTCAAAGCAATAAATTGAAAATAATGTGGAGTACGAACTGCGCTAAAACGTGGTTCCACGCAAACTGCAATCAAGTGGGCGGGGCAAAAAAAAACTGCTATCAACACGCCGAACATGGGATTGGTTGGGTTTTCTACTTAACTTTATCTTACCCAATGAATGGATGATGCGTGAATGCATTTGCTTGTCGACATTTGATTTGTCAAAATATTCTGTTTTATCTGTATTTGTAAAAGCTACACGTACACTTGTACGTGATGCTTTAGTATTGAAGTTCAATTGTATGAGTTGCAACCATGTTTTAGTGGCCTTTGTTAGAGAGTATTCCTTTCAATCATTTCTAATTTCTTGTTTCAGAGATTATTTCGTACAAATAAACTTTACCTCTTCAATTTAATAGCACAAAAGTTTAGGTAGAAACAAATAAATGTACAAAGGCAAACTGTTGAAGGCACGTTAAGCCGTTGGTCCCGGCTGCATCTGCAGTCGTTAGCACCCGCCAATCTATACTGGGCCCGCGTGGTGAATGGGCCATGCCCAATCAGCCTATTTCCATAGGGAATGCCTGCGCCCCAGCAGTGGGGACATCAATAGGCTGATGATGATGAGACAAACTGACCGATTGCGTCTATTTCGTCCATGAATATGATGCAGGGCTGGTGGTCGCGTGCGTAGTTGAACATCTCGCGGATCAGGCGGGCGGACTCGCCGATGTATTTATCCACGATAGCTGACGACACCACCTGATATAGTGAAAGAAAGAAAAAAAAATTTTTTATCTATACATATAATAAATTGGTAGGAAAGTCAAAACTGTATATTGAATATTTTTTTAAAACAATACTTGGGGTGTGATCTACAATCGATACCGAAGCTAAAAATATAGTTTTTAGAATTTTCGTCTGTTTGTCTATATGTATTATGTCCGGGATAAGCTCAAAAACTACTGCATAGATTTACTTCAAAGGACATTGGGCAAAAATGTATGGACGCTGCACCCACGTCAGCCACAGATTAAACTACATTTGTTTGAAAGGTATTATAGTCATGATCATCTGTGCCAAAGCGCATCAAATTCCATCCCGGGGGTCTTAAGTTATTTTAAGTTTAATAGGTACAAGTACTATAACGAACGAACATTAATAAAACAAGAGAATTAATTTAGTTACTTAGTTCGAACCTACATAGGGGGCTCAGGTATTATGGAAGTACTTCACAAAGTGCAAGGGTGCCCCCTTATGTTATTCTGCCGCGCTAGACTAAATCCAAAAATCCCCGCATGGGTTGGGGTTTTTTTTAAACATTTTTTTCGTTATAGTAAATTGTCTTCTATGTAAAACGGAGCGACCACAAATCACACAAACTTGCTCGCTTCGGAGAAAACATGATTCCAGTTCATCCATACTGTAGTGTGTGTACTAGACATATGCACACACGCATCTCTCTCAATATATAAAGCGTTGTTTAACTAATAAATGCACTCTTTAATCGCAGTCAGATGCTTTATTTAAACGCCCCGAACCGCCAACACTGCATGGCGACCCTGCCAGTGCTGCCCATCGGCGACGCTAAGCAGATGGTTTTATAGTGAAAAAAAAATTTTTTTTTTACTTTATTATGGGAAGACTATGATGAAATATATGAAGTGATTATAAAAAAAAAGACATTACAAAATTATAATTAAAATGAGAAAAGACTTTTAAAAAATAATAAATTCTTGAAATGCGGCCTAAATAAAACGAAAATTTTGGAACTTAAAAGTGAGGAGTGAGGAGAAAAGGAATGGAAACCAACGGCAAGGACAAAATTATGTGGAGCTTTAATTCGGATATTAATTTTGGTTGGACATTTTTTCCTTATGTTTATTTAATACTATAAGTTTATTTTATTGTTTCGGAGGTAATAATTGGCAAATAAGTAAAATGTTTTTCTTATTTTTTAATAATCAAATGTAACAGGTAATTATTGTTTTCTCTGGTAAAAACTAAAAATATACAGTTTGAAGAATTTTTTTTATAATGAATTTTATACCTCTTTTCATAATTCATTAAATGTGAGTATAGATTATGTTCAAGTAGTGATAAAAAAAATGTTGTTAACGATATTCTTTATACATTCTATAATGATTAAAATGTAAGTTTTGTTTGATATTACTACATATTTGTAAAAGTGTCAATTAAAAAGAATCAAACATATTATGTACAATTGTACGTAGTAAAGAGTACCTAAAATGACATTCTGATTCATACTATAGTTTGATTGCACTGAAAAGTAAAATTAAAAATGACTTTTTTAATGAAAATTGATTTTATATGATAGTTTTCTAAAATCGTAGGAAATATTGTTCGTTATGTATACGTTATTAATGTTGTTTTCTAAATTTTACAGCTCTGAATGTGCGAAATCGTTATCAAAAGGTATGTGACTTATTTTTAAACCGATAATATTTTATTCGATTGTATTTAGAATTCTTTTTGCGTGTCAGAACATAGGGAAATCCTAGGAAAATAGTCACTTTAAATGGAAAATAGTTAATTCATGAAAACACCTCCTTTTGAAGTCGGTTAAAAATTAGAATATAAAATTTTGTTTTAGTGTATCTTATTATTAAAGTTATTGTTTAAATACAGAAACTTAAATTCTCAATGCATATAAATTTAAAATAGTGATTTCGTAATTGAGTTCATAAGCGAACGACATCGTGAGTGCTGACCTAGCAACACGTGTGGTATGCATGTAACGTGACCACGAAGGTAGTATCTATTGGCATTGTAGTAATTTTACGGAAATTTAAAGTGAGAGAATTCGAAATTTATAATTTTATGTACGTTTTTTTTAACTTTACTTGTTTAAATTGTTACGATTGAAATACCCGTATGTATGTATTGTATATCAAATCAAAATTGAAAAAATTTTCGCTACTAGAATCATTGAAATTTATATGAATTACATTGAATAGGTACGATAAGTGTATAGAAAATGTATATATGAATTAGGTATGTATTTCACCTAGGTAAAGTTTGTCACGTAATTATTCTTCAGGAATCAAAATTAGCTAGTATCAAAAACATTTAAAATGTTCCGTATATTTTTTAAGGATTTGGATTAGGTACTTAGATACTGTAGTCCAGGCAACGAAAAGGTATAGAGGGAAATGCTTGGAACACAATTTTTGACTTCGTAACTTTGTTAGGACTAGTTAGGAGGTAAACATATCAAAAGTCCCCGCCCGTAGCCCTTAAGCCGGGGGGAAGGCGGGGTATTGAAGGTCCCATTTTTGTTTGGGTTTTTGCATATATCTCGGAAACTATGCATCCTAGCGACATGAGACTATTTGACAAAAGTGAAAGCTGATTAAATTTGCTACAAGTCTTATTCAGTCAAGTTTTTTGATATCTTGTATAGTTTTCGAGATATCCGCTCTTGAAAATCTGTAATTATGGAAAAAAAAATTTGCTTCACATTTGTGCTCTATTTGATCGGATAACTCTTCGCCAAAACAAGGATGGAGCTGACATTGCCAAGCTCACCGATTGGTTTCAGAAATTTCCTCCCTTCCGAGAGACCAGCGACATTATCGAGTCACCAGAAATCCAGAAAGCAGCAGCGGTCTTTTCACACCCTTTCTCCACCACCGCTCAAGTACAAAAGGCAGGTGAAACCTGCATCTTAAGGTGGTATGGAGCTCCAGCAAAAGAGATTTCCCTCAATGCCTACAGGTACAAGTCATTCTTGAAATCAGTGGCCACCATCAAGCCTGATATCTCTTGTCTTCCTCCCACCGAGGGAGCAGTAAAACAGCATTCCCAGGAAGTGGTGGCATTTTTTTTTCCATAATTACAGACTTTCAAGAGCGGATATCTCGAAAACTATACAAGATATCAAAAAACTTGACTGAATAAGACTTGTAGCAAATTTAATCAGCTTTCACTTTTGTTAAAGTCTCATGTCGCTAGGATGCATAGTTTCCGAGATATATGCGAAAAACCTAAAAATGGGACCTTCAATCCCCCCCTTCTCCCCGGCTTAAGGGCTACGGGCGGGGACTTTTGATATGTTTACCTCCTAACTAGTCCTAACAAAGTTACGAAGTCAAAAATTGTGTTCCAAGCATTTCCCTCTATACCTGTTTTTGAGCATTCGTTGCCTGGACTTACTGATAGAGATTATGGAATAGGATTTCCTGTAGATATAAAATGGTTGAATTTGAATTCATAAGTTTATCCAATATAGAATATTTTATTTCAAACCTTAAGCCCATTATCACCTGACATAATGGAAAATTTGTATTGGTATAATTATTTTCAAGTATTATTGTGAATTAGAGTCAAAAGTTTTGCAGTTTGATTTGTTAATTTATTTAAAAAGGTTTATTGATATTTTATAATCAGGGATAGATTGACAAAGATAGTTTTGATATATTTTTTATAGAAAGATGAGTTTAAAGTCGAAATTAAAATTTGAAATTTTGACGTTGTTTTAACGTAAATTTAAATTCAAAGTTTCATCAAATTTGGTCAAGCTTTTTATTAATACGTGATTGTTTAAGATATCTTGAGATTGATAAAAGTTATCACGGTGCTTAATCCTAAATTGTTAGTTTCAGTTATTAGACACCTAGTGACAGATTCTCGTAATTGTTTTGAATAACTTTACGAACAAGGCAAAGGTAGATAGGATTACGTATTGCATTTCTGTATCAGTATAAGGAATGCTGCATATGCATTTATGCGAGTTGTGTTTTAACGAAGGTGTAACTTAAGTTTACTTATTATGCTAAACTTAAATAGGTAGGAGTTATATTACTTGGGAACGCTAGAAAAAAACAAAGGGATTTCAAATAGGTAGGCATGTATGATGTTACACAAAGAATAATTATAGTGAAAAGATATTTAGAGACATAGGTATAAAGATAGGTGATTATATGGATTGAAAAATATTTTTGGGGGAGTGAAATGGAAAAGATAAGTTATGTAGGCTGTATTAAAATCTTTTTGTAACTTTAAAGTTTGCAATTAGGTACAGCATGGTATAGAGATAAGGTTAGGGTTATGTGTTTTTTTTGTAGGATTTGGAAAGTCGGCATTAGTTTATAAAAGCAGTTAGGGAATTTATGGTTCATAAAGTTTCAAAAGCGATTGGACTGATCACCCAAGAGCTATGACACTGGAATGTTGTTTATTTTTTTGTAGGATAAGAATGAATATGGTTATTAAATGCTCGTTATTCGGTACACAAGGGTACTATAGGGATCAGGTCCTTCAGGTGTCAAGGTGCGAACGAGATTTCTCTTTGAATACTGTTGGAGATCAAAAATATCTTAATTTATGACCCTATCTATAAACGATATTTGTGGTACATGGAGGGTCAGATCCCTCCATTCGATCATGGTGTAAACTGCGTTTTTCTGTGAGATATGTTGGAGTCCAAACGAGGCTTAAACCTTGACCCCCGAAAAATAATAATTAGGTTGTGCGCACAACCCAAATGGCAGAGAGTTGTCCATTTATCATACACTTCTGGACACATCTATTGGCCCACCTTGTATTTTCAGTTTCGTTTGGTCCTAGCTAAAATTTTATATTAGGTCGAGCAAAAAGTTTTTATGCAGTTTTGAACCTGGCACATTCACATTTTCATTCAATAGCCTTTTTTTGAATTTCGAACACAGAATTAAAACAAACAAAAGACAATTTGGAGCCTGTTTGTTGATATCAAACAATCGAATACAAAGAAAACTTGG